AGTCTCTGGTCAGGTTTTTTTTTATGTCTTTGGTTTAATAGTTCAGAATGTGAAGATTTTCTCAAATTAAAAACTTTCTTTTTTCATTGGAAAAGAATACATTTTGAGAGATGAAAGTACCAGTATCTGAAAACATTCTTCCAAGCATGTTATTCTTAAGGTTTGTTATCAAGTGCTATCCATGGTAATAAACTCTGCCATAAAAATTCATTGTGCCTAACTGCTGTCCTCCTTCATGATTTTAATGCCTTATTAGAAGTCATTTTTTTTTCTGCAATTCCTGTAAAGTTGGTGAATCAAAGGCAAGTCTAGGCAGTAATTGCATAAGTAGAAGAAAACTAATTCTAGAATTCATTATAGATGAGATGATGAAAATCTGTCTTGTATTAATGTTATTTGTATAAGGTAATACTTGAAATTCTATCACTTTGATAATAGTTGTTCATCAGAAAATAAGTAATTTCTTGCATTCAAAACAAAGTTCAGATAATTTTGCCTTTGTGAGGAAACTTGTTGCTGTAGTGCTTGTTAAAGATTCCCTGTGAGATAGTGCAGACCCATATCATTTTAAATTTTGCTTTAACTTTAAAATATGGTTGCTTTATTTTATATTCATAGAAATATTTGCTTATATTAAACATGATTTTAGTAGGCAAATATGTTTCTATCATTTAAAAAATCCAGATACTTATATATGATCACTTTACCAAAATCCTTGGTTATGTTTATAAATTAGAAACAATTGCCTTCTAGTAAACAATGGATTATAAAAGAATACATAAAAATTATTTGTAGTAAACTAAGAAGAAAATCCCTGGACAAGAATGCCTAAAATAATAATGTCATACTCTTCAGTAAACTTTTTGTGTGATTTTTTAAATGTACCAACTAATTTCTTCCTACATTTCCCCCTACTTTATCCTTTTTTAAAAACCAAGTTCAGAACAAAAAACTTCTCTGCTTTGTCTGCGTATCTTTGGCTGTGTTTCCCTGTGACATGCACTGCTGTTCTTCTAGCACCAAAATGTTGGCACACACTCCTGAAAATTTCACACCATCGCTTGCTGGATCAGCAAGCTTAACCCACCAAAATCTGGTGTTGTGCAATAGTTTTTGACTGATAATCAATCTTTATGCTGCTCGACAGTTGTTGCTGGGACACGGAATAGAGCAGGTGGCAGATGTGTCTTGTCTTTTGAGAGAAGAAATTGTAGGTGAGCTTGGACACAGACTAGCACATCACATGTCCATTAAAAAGACCTAAGATAAGTTTAAGGGAGAAAAGACACCGTGCTAATTATACCCATAGATAAACCTAAACACTGACATTTGGTTACTTTCAGAATGTGAAGAATATAAATGTAAATGTGTGTTTGTATTGAGCACAGTGTACAGGAAAGGTAACACTCAGCTTCAGGTGGTAATGTGTCCATATATCACAACTTGTCCAAATGGCATTTTTCAAGCCATCTAAATAAGACTGAAGAGGATCTTTCTAGTATGTGTATCATAGAATTTTTGGTAACTTGCTAACCTCCCCAAGCATATCATAAAAATAAAATGTGTGAATAACTGAAGATAGTAGACAAATTTAGAGTGAGGAGGCATGAGAAGTTGGAAAGTTGAACATGCTAAAGAAAAATAAGGAAAAACAACTAGCAAGCTTTGGCGTTTTGTACATCTTTCTAAATCAGCATGCATATTTTTAGACAGCTCAAAGGCATAGAGTCAGTGACCTGCCATTATTTTAATTTACTGATTTCCATTCATGTAACACCTTACTAGAACCTGCTATGCACCTGCTAGTGACCTACAAGGTCAGAGCCAGTTGAAAGGAAGGACTGATAATTATTAATTAAAAATTCTTTTAATCATTATTTCACCTCTGATTTAAATTTACTTCAATTAAATAAACACTTATGTCAGTAAGATTTTTACTGAATACCTACTATGTGTCTAGCCCTGGTATATGGCCTTTAAAGAGGTTAAAGTGGGTTAATAAGTTATAATATACTTACTACTGGAAACACTATTCAACCATGTAAATCAAATGGATTATCCAAAAGAAAATTTACTTTATTATTTCATTTCTGCCACTCGACAGTCAAATGTCAGTGTAATATTTTGGCAATTATTTTTTCATACTTTATTTCCTTATCAAGTTTTAGAAAATCAGTGAAGATAGTGAAAGTTGGACAGTAATTGAAGATTTACTAAGAAAAAAAGCCCCTAGGACATACATCCCTGATGGTTTAAACCATTTGGCTATCCCTTTTGAGCACCACTGTTGACAACCAGTGGCACTGCACTTAATAGAAAATAAGAGAGCTATTCATCACATACCTCAGAACACAAAGCTTGCATTTAGAGGTCAGGCCAAGGTCAAGACTGACTTGAAGCATTCTGTGTTAAAATACAATATAGAATAATCCTTACATTTTGAAATTGAATATCTAATCAGAAAGATTAGGGTAGAAGATCAGCAAAAGATGGAAAATATCATAAAAATAGAAATATTTTATATAAAAATATCTGTGAAAATATCTTCTTAGGTCTTATAATTCTCTCATGTAAATATTTGGACATTAACAATTCTGTCAAAACTGTAGAGATACAGTTAATGAATTGTTAGGAAAGGTCAATTTCATGGCTACATTGTTTAGAGTTTGTTCATTTTCTTAAAGTTTCTGCTTGGTGTTAGTGCAGTGAGAACTCCTGGATCACATTCATGTGGTCTGTAAGAGTTCAGCTCAACTGCTTCTAGAATGAACAGACAAAACCTCGTGATTGCTTAAGCATCTTAAAGAAGTAGAGGGGGGCAGGGGTCAAGTTCTGTTGTATGAAACTCTAGTGGTCTTCAACAACCATTATTTTTTAATTTCCCCTCCTTTCTATATAGCCTACTTTACTATTTGACTTTCAGTGTTATCATTTATAATGATTCCTTCCTGTTTTGAGTCTTGTTAACCAGAGTGAAACTGAGTATTATGAATTAGATTGTACATCCCTTATATGCTGTATTTTGAAGATGTAATCACAGAAAAAAATCCATGAAAGGAGCTTTCAGTACCATACCTAAGATCTAAATTTAAAGCTGAAGATTTTCTGCTAGCTGCCATGTGATCTACAAAATGAAATAATTTGCTGTGACAGCTTGTGATTGACAAGAATATGTGTGAGCACATTTAAACAGGCCATCTTTTCATGTAGAAGTAAATGTCAGTGAAATGATGGATTCTCATCCTTTTAATTATTGATGATTTGGAAATATTTCAATTCCACGACACAGAGGACACATTATAAATAGCAGCATAACACTTTTCCTCATATCTGCGTCAATAATGAAATGTTCTGTCATATTTTGTTTTTCAAAAAATGCATTAGTTTAATGAACCTGGATTCATGCATTGTATTGTTTCATTATAAGTCTCATGAGTTTAACACCAGTGGTTGTTTCATTCTGCTAAGCTAACACTGAGCTTAGTGACACACACCTATAGGGCAACCATGACTTGATTCTGACAGCCACAGGTTTAGGCTTTGCTTTCTCAAATTCCTTTTATTGTTTTGCTTGAATGGTATATGTATTAGGCAAGGCTATTAATCTATTTTATTTCCAAATTAGCTGCTTATACTCAAAAGCAGGAAGATAGTTTTCTAGAAAGAGAAAAGATTCTTCTATTTCAAAATGAGACTAAAACTATAGCTATATATTTCATGAATTTTCCTATTCCAAATATTTTATTTATTATTTTAATTTTATGTGTATGAGTGTATTGCCTGCATGTATGTGAGTGCACCCATGTTGTGCAATGCCACAGAGGTCAGAAGAGGGCTTTGGATTTCCCTGGAACTGGAGTTAAGTACGGTTCGTAGCTGCCATGTGGGTGCTGGGAATCGAACGCAGATCCTCTGCAAGAGCAGTCAGTGCTCTTAACCACTGAGCCATCTCTCCAGCCCCTCCTATTCCAAATTTTAAAAAATGTAATAAATGTATATAAGGAAATATGGATTTGAAGTTAACTGCCGGAGATGACAAAAGTGACTGTCCTTGGCCCATGGGAAAGCCTAGGATATGCATGTGTGTCTGGTAGCATCTCTCACACTACCAAACATAAAATCATGGAAAAACACATTAATTCTTAATACTTTCATGAAATACTGAATTGTATATGTGTATGCAGAGAAAGCTATGCTTATTTAATAAAAAATGTCTACAAATTTATTACTATCTTTATAATTTGACTGCATGATTTCTGTATGTCACGTTCCCAGTGGTATGCTTTAAATATCTTATATTTACTCTTTATAACTCCTGATTTAGTTCAATAAATTCATAACCTATTATCTGTGATTCTAAAGTCCAATACTCTAGAAGTCCAAACAGTTTTTT